TTCATGCCTTGGATGTCCACAGTCTATTGTTAGCAAAAACTAGCTGCAAACAGTTTCAAGACTGGGGAAGCCAAGTCTTGAAGATGGCATGATGCCATGAAATTCCACATTGTGTCTTTTGTAAAAGGCATGTGCAAGCATTAAAAAAAACAGATGGTTTCAAAATTTGAGACGCCAAGTTTTAAGATGGCATCATGTGTAAAGAATCATGCGGGCACAGCCCCACATACGGCAGAAAAAACACAGGTATAAAGTTTCCGCTTGTTACACAGTTTAGTACATGGTTGTAAAATGTTAGGAGGGGTTAAAAATTGGAAGTGGAAGAATATCATTTCGAACACTTGAAGGCCAAGTATTGCAATATCATTCTTGGGCTCCAGACTTGGAGTTCCAAGTCGTGAGCACAAGACCAATCTTTACCACTCTGGACACCCAACAGGAAACATAACAAGTATCAAACTACAGAACAGCTTGTTTGCAAGTTTTCAGGCTCGGGGCGGTAGCAAGTGTTGAAACCTATTATTTTTAAAAAGTCGCAAAGACTAACTTCATTGGTGAGCCAAGGCAGAAAACTTTGCAACAAAAACCCAAGTCTTGAGCTTGAAGACTTGGAAGGTCAAATAGTTACCAAGATGGATCAAGTTAAGTTCCAGACTTGGAATGCCAAGTCCAATCAAATCCAGAACTTGGCGCAATGCATTTGGACAAGTTAAGGGTGAACTCTTACCTTTTTGTTTCAAAACTTGGGATGCCAAGTCTTGAAAAAATATGTTCATGTATTGAAAGACCAAGTCATGAAAGGACAAAAAAGTAATACTGATAAAGCCAAGTTCTGAACGATGTTAATGGTAACTGCCATGAATCAATCATATTTGAAAGACCTGGGAGGCGAAGCCAATTGAGACAAACATGAGTGGTTGGACTTGGATTCAAGCCTTGAACTTTTGAAGAACTCATTTGCATCACATCGAGAACAACCTTAAAAGTCTCAGTGATCATGCTTGTCAGTGCAAGACTTGCGAGGCCAAGTCTTGAAGTGCATTTAAGATTCACTATTGTGCCAAAACAATTTCTGGGAGACCAAGCCCAAATAGATTTTCTTGCAGACTTGGAAAATGACCAAGTCTGAATTTCATTTTCAACTTCCACATTTAAAAACCATCATCAAGAACAACATCATATTGAAATTGAAGCCCAAGAGAAACAAAAAACAATCATGTTCATCTTGGACATTTGGAACCTTGAACGGAAATCACCAAGAGAGGCATGATGGAATGTCCCTCCAAGAGTATGGTTTATCTAGAAGAGTAACAGTGCCCTGTTGGTACAATGTGTTTTCTGTCAAGAGCAGCTAAAGTTCGACACCTTTTGGCGCAAAGACCATAGTAAGCAAATTCAAACTGTTCCATTGTTACACTAGTCACAACTATGCATATCTAATCATGCCTTCAAATCCATGAGTGAAACCGTGTGTTTTTGTTTAATTTGGTTGAAGGTCTGCCACTTGAAATCCTAATGTCAAATCAGTCGGTATTTAGGTTCCTATGCAGCTCCATTCCTACAACCACATTTGGGAACCTGATGGTTGGAGCATGCAATCCACTAGAAGTGTATGAGTATAGTCATGTATATGCATTGAACACCTGTAGATCACACCAAGCCCCAAAAATGCCACGCACCAGACAAAAAAAAACTATGCATATAGTCATCCAACTCATTTGTGAAAATAAGAATATGAAAAAAATCACCTTCTAGATTGTAGTTATTCCTGATGAACTCTCACAACTTTGAAAATGAAAGGGAGGTGTATGTATGTACTTGCCAGCTACGAGACAGATTTTTGTTTAACCCTTTTCTTGGAACGGATACGAATTCTATTGCCAAGGCCTGGAATGCCAAGTCTTGGAATTGAAGTTGATGTCTTAATTCAATTGCCAAGGCCTGGAACGCCAAGTCTTGGAATTGAAGTTGATGTCTTAATTCAATTGCCAAGGCCTGGAACGCCAAGTCTTGGAGTTGAATTTTATGTAATTCAATTGCCCAGGCCTGGAATGCCAAGTCCTGGAATTGAAGTTGATGTCTTAATTCAATTGCCAAGGCCTGGAACGCCAAGTCTTGGAATTGAAGTTGATGTCTTAATTCAATTGCCAAGGCCTGGAACGCCAAGTCTTGGAATTGAATTTGATGTAATTCAATTGCCAAGGCCTGGAATGCCAAGTCTTGGAATTGAAGCCCATTATTTCAGGGGTTATGATGCCCTTGTTCAGGGCTAGTCCCTTGTTCAGGGACATTATCCCCAGCACTCGGAACGCCGAGTCCTGTCCAAACCCCAGCTGAAGGCTGCTGCAACGGCATCACCTGTCCAGGAAACCTGCAGGTACAAATTAATGGTATCACATATATGTTCATGACTTGTGTGCATGGTGGTATCACAAGTGGATGACAACCCGGGGACACTGGGTGGTATTTTATGATTTTATGACTCTTGGTGACATTATATTGGTATCATATGTGCATGACCCTTGATTAAATATATATATATATATATTTATGTTCATGATGCTTGATGGTCATTGGCAGTCTGTGTGTGTGTATGTTTGTGTTTGGTTCAGTAATCATGAAACTTGTTGTTTGAATTACAACATGTTTGTTGTTCTGACCTGCCCCCCCCTCCAGGTTAGTGTGTGTGTGTGTTTGGTTCAGCAATCATGATACTTGTTGTTTGAATTACAGCATGTTTTTTTGTTCTGAACTGCCCCCACCCCTCCAGGTTTCAATTTAAGCATGACTACTGTGTGTATGTGTTTTGTTTGGTTCAATAATCATGATACTTGTTGCTTGAATTACAGCATGTTTTTTGTTCTGAACTGCCCCCACCCCTCCAGGTTTCAATTTAAGCATGACTACTGTGTGTATGTGTTTTGTTTGGTTCTGTAATCATGATACTTGTTGTTGGAATTACAGCATGTCTTTTTGGTTCTGACCTGCCCCCCCCTCCAGGTTTCAATTTTAGCATGAAAACTTATCCCTAGAAAATGAAAAGAAACATGTTGGAAAACCATCCCAAAATGGAAAAGCAAAAAAATACTGCATTTTTTCAGCCAAAATGAAACTATCATTTTCAAAAACCAAACTATCACAATCAAAGAACAGAGGTTTAGTTGCAAATCACAATGGAATTCCATCTGCAACTCATTCACCAGCACCACTTGCAATCCCATTTACATTGCGGGAACGATCCTACAGTTGCAAATCACAATGGAATTCTGTCGACCGCACATGCATGAAAAACAGTTGAAACCCCATTTACAATGCGGAACCGATCCGAGCATGATCCATCCCCGACCATGATCCGAGACCGATCCGACCACACACGAGACCGTCTCGCAACGTGCACCGCAGAGGTAGATCATCGAGGTTCGGGGACGGACTTTGTATGGAAAAACATAGGGTTTCGTGCATCTGCTATCTCTCAAAAACGCATTTCGTGCGAGACTTCCTTCAAAACTCCATCGGCAACTCCTCCACCAGCACCACTTGCAATCCCATTTACATTGCGGGAACGATCCTACAGTTGCAAATCACAATGGAATTCCATCGGCAACTCATCCACCAGCGCCACTTGCAATCCCATTTACATTGCGGGAACGATCCTACAGTTGCAAATCACAATGGAATTCTGTCGACCGCACATAGACGAAACACAGTTGAAACCCCATTTACAATGCGGAACCGATCCGAGACCGATCCGACCATGATCCGATGATCCGACCACACACGAGACCGTCTCGCACCCGTCGCACCGCAGAGGTAGATCATCGAGGTTCGGGGACGCACTTTGTATGGAAAAACATAGGGTTTCGTGCATCTGCTATCTCTCAAAAACGCATTTCGTGCGAGACTTCCTTCAAAACTCCATCGGCAACTCCTCCACCAGCACCACTTGCAATGCCATTCTAACTCTTTCTTTGACTAACTCTTTCCCTGACATTCTAAAAGTTACAATTAACTCTGTCCCTAACTAACTCTTTCCCTCACTAACTCTTCATTTGACTAGCTCTTTCCCTGACAGTCTAAAAGTTACAATCCCTGATGAACTCTTTCCCTAACTAACTCTTTCCCTCACTAACTCTTTCTTTGACTAACTCTTTCCCTGATGAACTCTTTCTCTAACTAACTCTTTCTCTGACTAACTCTTTCCCTGATGAACTCTTTCTCTCACTAACTCTTTCTTTGACTAACTCTTTCCCTGATGAACTCTTTCTCTAACTAACTCTTTCTCTCACTAACTCTTTCTCTCACTAACTCTTTCTTTGACTAACTCTTTCCCTGATGAACTCTTTCTCTTCTCTCACTAACTCTTTCTTTGACTAACTCTTTCCTAACTCTTTCCCTGATGAACTCTTTCTCTAACTAACTCTTTCTCTCACTAACTCTTTCCCTGATGAACTCTTTCTCTAACTAACTCTTTCTCTCACTAACTCTTTCTCTCACTAACTCTTTCTTTGACTAACTCTTTCCCTGATGAACTCTTTCTCTAAATAACTCTTTCTCTCACTAACTCTTTCTCTCACTAACTCTTTCTTTGACTAACTCTTTCCCTGATGAACTCTTTCTCTCACTATCTCTTTCTTTGACTAACTCTTTCCCTGATGAACTCTTTCTCTAACTAACTCTTTCTCTAACTAACTCTTTCTCTCACTAACTCTTTCTTTGACTAACTCTTTCCCTGATGAACTCTTTCTCTCACTAACTCTTTCTTTGACTAACTCTTTCCCTGATGAACTCTTTCTCTAACTAACTCTTTCTCTCACTAACTCTTTCTTTGACTAACTCTTTCCCTGACATTCTAAAAGTCCGTAACACGGAAGTTTCTCCCCCTAAACTTCCTTTGATTATATATAATCATACATATATATATATATATCCATGTTAAATCATCAATTTTGACCTTTTCTTTGGGTGCCTTAACAAACACCCAAAAAACCCACCCTGGGCGCCTCGCGGTAGATCTCCTTGGACATCTGCAGCAATCGCCCGGTGAAGGGATCCGCCGAGGCGGCCGGCTCCAGCGTGGCGTGGAGCCACGCCACGTCGCGCGCCACGGCGTCCACCAGCCTCGGATGATGTAAAGAACACGATGGATGGATGGAATGATGGAATGGATCATATAGAACATCTATAGAAAACCTATAGAAAATCTATAGAAAACCTAAAGAAAATCTATAATTTGAAAGATTTTGAAAGGCACACCAAACTAACTAATTGTGAAATTTGAGATGTTTTGATGTAGAAGAATTATGAAGAAATGCTGTTATCACGCTGTTGGCAATCTGAATCTCCGGGGAGCAGATCACCATCAGATCACCCCCTGCAGTGCAAGGAGCTTGTTCCACAAGGGACTCAAAGCCACACACTCCTGGTCGCCGCCATCGAGATTGGAAACCATGAAACCATGAAGAACTCATGAAACATGTGATACGAATATGAGGGATATAACATGATTTTTGACTTGATTTTTGACACCATTGATAATTAATGGCTTAGCTGGCTTAGCTGGATGTTCAATTCCATGTTCATTGGGATACTAATGATGATCCATTTTCAATATTTTCAATTCCATGTTCATTTAAACTCCATTATCAATGTTAAATTCCATGTTCATTCCCACCATTTTCAATGATCATCTAAACCTATGCTTCATTGGGATAATGATGATCCATCCCAGAACGGGAAAGCTATGGAAAGCTAAACTCCCTATGGCTTGGTGGTGCCCCAGTTCGGAATCTTCGCTAAGTTGGTGCGTTTATAACTCTAATTTCACTATGGTTTAGGGTAGATATATCGAACTACTTACTATGATTTATATGATGTATAAACCAACCATGCCCTGCAGATGATACGGATAGATGATCCAACTGATAATCCACATATGTTCCTGTGTTCAGTGTTCCCATGCTTTCATGCTGCTCACCATACATGTACCTTTTTTTTACGGCATCCCAATTCTGTACTACTTACGAACCGTATACCATGTGCAACTCAAATACTTTGACACATACTGTACATAACATACACAGCCTAAATACCACATGTAGTGTATCCAAACCCAAAACTTGGATTGCCTATATGCCTATATTGTAATATGTATAAATCTTTAAATGCTATTTATGCATGGTATTTACTGTGAACTAGTTGCTAATTAACAAATTCTTAAACTGCCTGTATATACCAACAGACCACAATATGTGCGGTGAACTTAACAAATTGTTCGGTCACCAAATCTCGTGCTGTGTTGGAACAGGACCATTGCAAACAAATAGTTTACATTTGTTGGAACAAATACATCCCTATAGCATTCAATGGGGTTTCAAAACATTTCAAAGCAATCTTAGTTGAACTTCACATCTTCCGATATCAACATATCCTGTATCCATGCATTCGCAACACGACGCAATCACCATCAACATTCGTATAAATTCTCGCAAATCATCATTATTACCTGAATTCCCTTATCCAACCACAACTCCAACTCTTACTGATAAGACGTCGCCACTTCCGCAAAATCATCATTTGGAGCTTTCCCAAAATAGGGGGTACCCCTAAATCATCCATTTTATTTCAGGAGTTCCCCCCATTATCCATTTATCTGAGTAAATTATGTAATATTTCACCAACTCAAAAAATAAGGCCACACCACTGGACATGATTCCTGTGATTCCAGGCTTCACGACGTGAGAGCACTCGATTTTCCCCAGATTTATGGATGTTCTCCATGGTATCAAGCAGTTTGGATCCAGTTTGAGGTATTTCTCCCTGGTTTTCACCACGATTTTCCCAGCATTTCCGCCCAAAACCGGTGAAAATTCCAACCTGAAAGGCCCGGCTGGGGATTTTGAACGGCAGCATGGCCACCGGACACTGCGTCGCCGCTGAGGCGTCCGCGCCTGGATCCTGGCAGCAACATTGGGGGTATATTGATGGTAAATGATGGGATCCATGTTACCATATATAGCAGCACCATGGATCCTATGGGCAATACATACATAATACATGATGATGGAGGACCAATTCACTATGATATACTATGATAATAGGACCAATGTATACATTCTCATACATAATACTTAACTATATATCTACAATTTTTCTTGAAGATCTTCAACATCTTGCCAACAGATCTGAGCATATTGCAAGTCCACACCATCCATGAATCTCACAAAACTTCAACACATTGACCATCATTGACCAATGCCGTTGCCGTATCACTTTTTGCTGCGTAAAATGAGTCGCGCGTCGACGTCCTGAACCAAAGCCTCATCTCCATGAAACGAGCTGAGGTTTCTGTGGTTTCTGAACGCAAAAATCCGCTCAACCCGGCGGGCAGGACCAAACACATCACTTCTTAGTCTTAGACCAACCAGATCTGTTTCTGGGAAGTTGGAAACTTGGTATTGCTCACAAATGCTAATCCTAATAGATTCTAAAAGTGCTTGCAGAGGTTATAACAGAAGTACGCAATCAAGTTTTCAATGAAATTTGCTGTTTGAACTGAATACGTCTGCACTCTTCTGCCCCATGGATCTATAGACTATAGACGCAAAACCACTTCGTGCTCAATTGCAACGATACAAGAAATACTGGCCCTAGCCACCAGCTTCATGAGTTTAGTTCCCCACCCTGTGGTGGGGGTGGGAAGGGCTTCTGAGAAGGAAATTACCTTTAACTTTTACCTTTTAAAATCCCTAAATTCGACCCGCTACACGTCTTCCATGTGTGGTGTTTGGACTCTTTCAGGTCTTCGATAGCAATTTATCTCATACTGCAAACCTTGTGAGACCTGGGTGTCTCAACATAGGGAATGACTCAAGTCCCGATTGAAGAGTCTACTTTGGTATGGCAACCTGTTTTTTTTCATATTTCACCAGCAATATGACAATCCCAGAATCCATGTCCAGAACTCATGATTTGATGATCTTGCCACATCTTGGCCACCTGCATTTCTACCAGTGACAGGTTTCTACGGCTTCGCCGTAGCGCCCTGAACATCAAAACTGAGCCGTTGAGCCGCGCCTATGGCGTGCAGTCCCCGGACCCATGACCAGGGAGGATGTCGGACACCATGGGCCGCCAAGATTGGAGTTGGGGGAGGGGAAATGTGCAGGAATTCATCCAGCAGTTTCTGTATAATTTTTGCCCCCTAACTTGTGAAACTGTTCCCTCAGCATTCCGCACAAGGTCATTTGATAGTTATTTGCAAAGAAAAATATCCGATTGGGTTGCTTGTGGGTCAGAACTTGTGACGTACTACCAAACCACGTTGCTTCAGCAATCGAAGATTCCACCTCGAGGCATTGCCTAATCCAATCCTGTGTGGGATAATGTGGGGTTACGTGCTCCAACAACTAAGCAGTTGTGGCTCAGGAGACAGCATAACATCGCTCAAATCATGGGACGCACCCCAAAATCTGAGTAGATCAGTTGCTGTCCGCAAAGCTCAAAACAAGATGTAGTTATGGATCCAAACATATCAAGATCCATCCAAATGGCACCCGTATTGCTGTACAAAATAGCTGCCAAATACGGGTGTTCATCTTGGATTTGCTTATGGAAGCCCCTCCCCAACAAAATCCCCATAAGATTCCCCAAGTAGTGGTTGTTCCATTGGCAAAAAAGAAAAACACATCTTTAGCGTTCTTTAGCAAATCAAGGTCATGTTGATTTGTCCATTAAAACATCCATAGATAGTGGATTTGTTACATATTTTCCCATGATTTATAATCATGTATAGTATATAACCCAAACGTCATTTGGGGTCCATGAGTCGTCCGACTAAAACTGCAGGTGTGCCAAGGGCACTACCCGAGAAAAAAAAAGTCCCTGCGAGTAGTGGCTTAGAATTCTGCCAACATCTGTGGAAATCCCATCCATCAGTTGTTTTTCTTTTTTTTTAATAAGGATTACTACGAGTACATTGCATCATGCAGAAAATCAACAAAACACAGGCACACAATACTGGAACATCATATTGTTCTCGACTGAATACAAGTTCGGACCACTGCTCAAATGAAGTTGCTGGCGCATCACAGGCTGGGTCTCTCTGCTGGAAAAGTCTCTTTCTCTATGTGTGTATCAACATTCAATTCAACAGATATCCGAAGAATCAAAGCCATGCTAAACCAAACACATTTATTCACCTCTGGTTTCTCAAATTAATGGCGAAGATCTCCAAAATTATATATTGATTTATACTCTTCATGTTGTTGGATATTCACCCAATGTATCTTGGAAAACAACAACTCATCTGCTCAACCGACCCTGCACTGCACAGCACTCACACGGGCAATTCGCTTACATCTTCTGCAAATGCCGGCATTGGAACGTACCTTGTGGCATAAGGACAATGTAGGGTCACAACATGGGTGTGTCTGAAAATGTTGTGTACCCCATTGTACCCAATGGTTTTGCTGATCATTATCCCGTTTTTTAATGGCTACTTCTTTGGGAAGATTAACCCAACATTTTCAGACAAACCCACATGGTATATGGTTTGTGGACATCTCACAATGGAATCCTTAAAATGGAAGGTATATATTAACACCCCTATGGATTGATGATCGTCTCCCAATGGCATTATGCCTTCGTCAACATCCAACTGGAAAGTAGGAAAGGCAACAGGTGTGTGTGTGTGTGAAGCTACCTTCCACTAAAAACCTATAGTCGTTATTGCTGGTTATACTATGTTATACTATGTTATACTCATATATTTGACAATCCAATTCCATTTCCGGTGGGTAAATGCTGCTGACCGAATCCACGAATCATCCCAAATTTGGCTGGTGAAATGCGACAAATGATCGACACTCAAATCCCTTGGTGCTTGGGTGGTGGAATTCTAATTTCTTTCTCAATCTCGGTGTTTCCCAATGTTTGATCATAAAACTCCTCATGATTCATGGATCAAATCATATCAAATCATATCAAATCCCTGTTTTGACTGGCAAAGTCCAAATTTCTGCTGCTCAAATTCAAGAATCATTCCCATTTTGGTTGATTTTTTGCTTTAAATCCCAACTTAAATTCATGGTTCAAAGGTTCAAATCCCAAGCGGCTGCGGTTCGAAGCAGTTGTTCGGCGTCATCACCGGCACGGGCCCACTGATGGACAGGCCGCTCAAGCCACCCAAGCCCTCCCGCAGCTGGGAGGATGGAATGCTAGGCCTTGGAGCGATGCCGTGGAAGTCTTTGAGGTTTCTACTGGGGATGGTTTAAGGGGATTTGAAGCAGCATAAATTGAAGATGTCACCATCCAAAATTAGAATGTAACTATAGCCAAAACTAGGATTTAACTATAGCCAAAATTAGGATTTAACTATAGCCAAAATTGGTCTTTCACCCGCCAAAGTAGGGATTCAGCCAAAAGTGGGATTTAACCAGAACTATGGGACTATGGGACATTACTTCATTAATTACTTACTCTGTTTTATTTGGTTTAATGGTTTAAGTTTAATTAGATACATAACCTATGCAATGTGGTTTGGGTTAATGAGTTAGATTACTGGGGATTGGCTTTTCAATGGGAGCTCTTATTAATAGGCCGGGTTGGAAAATTGTATGGAAAAAAACATCTGGAGAATGGTTTCTGAGGGATTATCCTTTTTGATGATGAAACGTATGGATTCAAACCATTAATCATTGGAACGGGAACATCATGATTGCCCACCAATTGTTGGACAGTGGTGTCATGAACATCCATTTGCCCGCTATCTTGATGTTCTTTGAGGTACATGAATCCTACCAATATTTATTGATTACTGAATATGCAGGACCGTAGCGCACTGGGGCCATGCACTCTGAATTCAACATGTTTGGCTTCATTTCCAGGTTCTTCTATGTTTCCTCTTTGTGCTAGCTAAATATCATCATGTATGATGGATCTGATGGTAATGGTTGCTTAAATCCACATGGTTGGTGAGTATTGTTGAGTCATATAGCCCCTTTCACATCTTTTCACAGTTCCAAGCTACCCCCTAGTTGCAGGATCTGCCACATGCCCAGAAACCGCTACCGCATCTACTGCATTCGGCCAAAGGGGCGTGTAGTGCGGTTGGGTCTCCACCGATGGCAAAGCCAAGCTGGTGGTGATCGCCTCAAAAATCGAGATGTTAAGCCAAAAATCCATGGGATGTTAATCTGTAACCGCTGATGGGTACAAATCTTGAGATATATGAGATTTGAGATATTCTCTATGGCTATATAAGGAAAAAACCTCCTGGCAAAGCCAATGAACCCCCTTATATAAGGGACCCTAAGATCCAGCCTGTGGCAATGTTTCCTCAGTCGGTCTCAGCTGTCACCTGGCCTGTGAATTGGTTTCTCAACCAACCGAACGGGGAAAATATGGAAACCGATGCAGGATTCACTTTAATCTACCCTTAATGTACCATATACTATCAATAGACCGTTAATAAAATTAGTAAACCACTAATATATATATATATATATTTCAGGGGTCCAAAGGCGAAACTTTGCCACCCCCTTCCAACAAAAGATATACTTTGCACCACCAATGCTGGTCACGCGCGTCACGGGTGTGTCACGTCCATTGGTTCCCTGTGTTGGTGTTTTGTTGGTTTGACACATTTCTTTTCATCACTGTTTGACTTGTGCATTTGGCACACCTGGAAGCCAATGAAGGAGAACCAAAACCCAGTGGAAAACATGTGGACACGACCTGACTTGTTTTTAATTTGGGGCTATTTTGGGGGGGCATGCGTCACGGCGAAGTTTGGCCGTTCCACGGCAAAGTTTGGTCGTTCCATGCCAAAGTGTAGCCTTACCACGTTTGCGTCACGGTCGCGTCACGCCCCCCCTATTGTTCCCATGCATTTGTGTTTTTTATCATGTCGTTTCATGGACGCTTTCCAGTTGTAATACATTCCATTTGTTGGGGTTGGCTGAGGCAACCATCGCATATTCACATCTGAGACATAGCAAATCCACTTTCTCTGACTCAAACTGAGCCAAGCTGATCCTCGGATATCAGGACTTGAATACTGAAACAGGGCAAGAGAGGGCAAAGAACGGTCCCCACCTGGTCACCTAAAGGCTAAACAAAGGATAGTCGTGGAAGCTTAGGGATATATATATATATGGGTGCGAGTCAAAAATCGGGTATGGATCGCTCCGCGGTGATCCGTACTATGGATCGGGAGTGCTTACGTAAGGTGCCTGATCCGTACCCTTTCGTAAGGGCTCATCATAGCATACAAACTGTGCTGATACTCCTACTATCTCTTACTTGCTATTACTTCTCCTCCTGCTACTGTTGCTGCTAAAACTGCTACCACTGCTAGTAGAGGAAGCAGTAAAAAAACAGCACCAGCAGCAGTAGTGGCAATAGAAGGAGGAGATGCAGTAGCAGTAGAAATAGCAGTAGCAGTAGTAGTAGTAGTAGTAGTAATAATAATAGTAGTATAGTAGAGTAGTAGAGTAGTAGAGTAGTAGAGTAGTAGAGTAGTAGAAGTAGTAGTAGTAGTAGTAAAAATAATAATAGTAGTAGAGTATATAGTAGAGTAGTAGTAGTAGTAGTAGGAGGAGTAGTAGTAGTAGCAGCAGCAGCAGAAGTAGCAATAGAATCGGACATTCATATTGGCATTTGTTGTGGCGTGACTGGGTTCGGGTATGGATCGGGTATGGAATGGGGTATGGATCGGGACACGCTATCTGGGCCGGCTTTCCCGCTATGGCTGTGAAGGAAGAGAGCGGGGTATTTCTAGTCTGGTCTAGTTCTACACGTGCCAGGCAAAGCAGAAACAGAGGGAATTGTAATCTTAGCGCCACTATAGAAGTACAAGAAGCACCTAGTGGAACTAGAACTGGTCTTACTAGCGTCCAAGGTGCACTTGCAGTATTGCTAGTAGCTAGTCAGCTAGTTGCATTTGTCCAACTACCAGAAGCACACGGAGGAAGTGAATCAGCACCAGCAGCGGGAGCAGGACCAGCAGGAGCAGCAGCAGAAGCGACAGCAGTAGCAGCAGCTCCTGGGAGGAAGATGACTAGTAGTGGCAGCAGCAGCAGCAGCAGCAGCAGCACGGAGGCATCGGAGGCAGCGAGCGGAGGCAGCGGAGGCAGCAGTAGAAACAACGGTAGTAGCAACGGGAGTAGCAGTACGATGACCAGAAGCAATATTAGGATAAAAAGCAGCATTAGGGCCAGCATCAGTCTTTCTTCAACGAGAAAGGGGTACGGATCAGGGGTATGGATCAGGGGTATGGATCAAGGGTATGGATCATGCAGTATCATGGGGTATGGATCAAGGTATGGATCGGGGGGTATGGATCGTGTGTGGGTCCGGGGCCTTGATCCATACCTTGTATTTTGACTCGTACCCATATATTTATTTATATGTGTAATGAAAATATTAATCATTAATATCCACGATAAACAAAAAAAACACTTTTCCAAGTGACAAACGGCACTGCTGCCGCGGGCTCCTCAGGCACTGCAGGCTCATCATCCACTTCCAGTTGCACATGTTGTCGTTCGGCCGGGATGGCCGCCTCCAAAAATGCCACCGTGCTGGCACCGTCCTCTTCCCTCAGTGCCGTTGGCTGTGGAACATCATCCTGGGACAGAAATGAATCCAATGCTGGACACATCAACCAGCTGTTGGATTAGTAAAATGTTGAAACGGCATTGGAAACTCAACATGTAATACAATTCTAAAAAAAAAACACAACCCCTGGGACGATTTCGTTCCAGCTCTCCCTGTTTTTCATTCCCTCATCGCCCTCGCCCTGCCAAGCCACATCCTCGCCTTTCTGAGCACCTGGCCGAGACGTCCCTTGGGTCCAGTGGGGTTCCCGTCCCCATGGCCATGTTCGCTGGATGTTCGCTGGGTAAGGACCCTAGTTGAGAACCAAAAAGACCAGCCATGCCTATATAGTTGCTGGATAAAAATTAGTCATTTTACGAACTGCCAACTTGCTGGTTTTAATCCGGTTTTCTGATACTGACTCTAAATAATTAACCACCCTTACAATATCTTTAGAATAATACTAAAACAGATTTCAACAAGCTCTAAACCCACTAAACACTTGTTTTTAATGCTGAGCGGTTCCCAACTTGCAGCTTCAATGTTCCAATCAAACTATATCTCAAGATTGTATTGTTTATCAGCATCATTTTCCTCATTATTCAGTGGCCATAAAATTCTCGGTCAATCATCAATTTTCAGGTCAAAATGTCAAAACCCATGTCATAACCTGACATCCCATTCTATCCCATCTAGCATCACCATGTTTGTTCGTTAAGTTTTTCCCTCCTATTCCGTTGTTTTTTTTTCCGGTATCGATCCCTGAAATCCCTCTATATTCACTGGCCATCTCAGGATCCAACAGATGGAGGTACCTATACCATAGAAAAAAGGCCTATTGTTTAGGCCTATTTTTCAGGGAATATCCTGACATTTCCATTGAAAATCATTGAAATATTTTTGGGGACCTGAAACACCCAGCACTGGAACCAGTGGTTAGAACCTCCTCCATGCGTCGGATCAGCTCTTTGATGGCCTCCGACAACTCCTCATCTCCTGACCCAACAAGGCTCCAGGGGCTCCCAGGGCTCCCGGCCGGTTCCTTGGGGATGAAATGACCACTGTTCAGTTCATGTGTACCCAGGATATCATCATAAATCATACATAAATCATCCATAATAATCATCCATAATGCCATAATAATCATCCATAATTCCATCAAAAATCATCATAAATCATCCATAATGCCATATTATATATCATGGATTATGATGATTTATGATGATTTATAATGCCATATTTCCTAATGCCATGATGATTGGAAGATTCCATTTGTTTAGGACCTCATTGCATATCGAATCGATGTGGGCAGGCAAGCGACTTTTGTTTTATAGATTTATGACCAGCAATCGGATAGTCGGGAATGTCAAAAATAGTCGTGTATACCTCCCAAATGGCAATTAAATAATAAGGAACACAATGATTCGGATATTTCACTACATAAGCTTCCAGTTCTGATACATCCTTGTCGTTAAGTGAGGGAACATCCAAAAAAATGGTGCCCTATAATGACCTTCACTTAAATAATGCTCCCGAGTTCGCTCTCAAGTACTTGAAATCTGGGAAACTCAGCCAAATTATGGACTCAAGGATACTCAGGACATATTTGTGAAACATCAACGGAGCCTGGTGGATGCTTGTGCACTACAGGAAATTGTGCTGAAACCCAGGAAATTCTTCGAAGCGTGTTTCCAAGATACAAAAGGTGATCTGACAACATGATGTGCCCAGTTCACTCACCCGTCCTTCACAGAAGGTCAACGCCTCCTGCAGAGCCAGTACAGCACTTGCCTGGCTCCGCATGAGGATGTCTCGAATTTATAGATTTCCATACCTTATTTGGGAAGGAAATCATACAACTTGCAAGGGGATGACAATGTGATTTTCAAAATAGAGTATATATATATATATTTTTTGTTTGACCATTTTTTTCACCTGGCAGTTGGGTCGAAAACCGATGATTTCAGTAATTAAGCGACTTACACATGTTGTACAATTCATGTTTACTGCAAAAGAAACTACCTCTGGTTATTCAACATAGCCATGGTATAGATGGCCCATAGAAATAGATGATTTTCCCAGCGATCTTAACCTCCATTTATGGTTGGGATTTTCTATGGCGAACTGTTAGTCATAACCAGATGGTTTACTGCAACCACAACAAACATGACAACTCCAGCTGGAAGATCTGACCAAGGCTGGAGATTTGATTGACCAATGACCGATGGTGCATAGATATCCGTTGAACATACACATGATTACAATATACCTAAATATACATATTATCTTATAGTATCATGCTAATTAAATAGTATAGGGTGAAAATACAAACATATTGAAAAATAACGTCATGAGGAAATAATGTATCTATTTAAGATACCCTATACTATGGTATCAATATACCATAGCGAGTATCTTCTTCCTGTCTTTCTATCATAAAAAAATAGGGTGTGAAAGTAGTATAAAAATATAGTATAGACAAAATGGATATATCATTTTTTTAGTAGATATTCTATACATTTCTATCCCATATAGTAATATCATAGTAGAATCAGGCGCGGCGCCTCCGCGGCCCGCAACATGCGCTGCTGCGCCAGCTGGTCGTCACCGGAGCAGAGGTTGCCCAAGGCCTAACGGTGCAGCCAGTGACGTGGTCAAGAAACCATAGGATTTAGGAAATATATAGGGAACATATATGTGGGGAACATATGTGGGGAATATGTATATATTATATAGTATATATTATATATATATATGAATCAATATATATGAAATAAAAGATGAGTTGGTATTCATTGGAATTAACAAGCATGGGAATATAGTGACATGGTCAAGTATATGGAGAATATATGTATGGAATAACACCAACAATAGTGGATAAAGGGATATACTGCGATGTGCAACCAAGCGGATATGATGTGGGGCTATGGTCCATTATGGGAATTCTGATAGTTCTTATACATGCCAAAAAAAGTCCCTACATTCCCTTCTATGGATTGATGACCATCCGCCAATATTCCGCCAATATGGGAAAATCAGCCAATTTTGACCACGAAACACAAAAACATATGGGAAACTTGTTGTTACACCATTTTGGAACGTCAACCATGTGGGGATTAAAAGGGCTTAATCAACAAAGTTGAAAATTTGATTGGTTTTAATTTTAATCTTTTAAAACACGGGTTGGATAGGATTTAACATGAATTAACCACAAAAAAACAGGGGTTGGATAGGATCATCCCCATTTCTGCTGATTAAACCACCACTTGTGTTGGTTGCAACCCCATAACTGCCATAACTCTTCACAACTCAGAATTTCGATTTGGTGTGCTTCACATAGCTGGCGGATGCTGGTGCTTCTGGATGTTCAAAAATGGTCTCAGGCACACCAATTCCCACATGCAGAATTGGACTCTGGCGCATTCCATCCAAGGACCATGATTGGCCAACAATGCCAAGATGGGCTGTTCACAAAGTTAGTTCAACTATGGATCCACCACCCGACAAACAAAAGTTGATTCAGCGCTGGCTTTACCGGCGCTCAGGCTGAGCGACACAGGCGGCATCTCGTTGCAAATCCGCATCCTTGCTGTGTTTCATGGCATCCACCAAGGCTTCCAATGATCCAGCCTGGTGCGCAGAAAAGGAAGCACAGGACCCCTCCAAAAAAATCGGGAGAACTGGAAGATTATGTTCAGCACTCGAAAAAATGACCATGTCCAGGTTGTGGAGTCTTGGTGTACGTCTACCATGCATTCTTGCAGCCATCTTGTTGTCTCATGTTATCTACATGACCATACTGCAGAAGTCCCGGCTAGTTGTAGCCATTTCTTTCACCTTCTTTGCTTTGACCTGTGAACTTGTGGGCCATGAACTTCCATACAAAAATCCATGATGCCGATTCTCTATTCCTCATCACATACGGATGCGGCTCAAAAGTGGGTGCTGAATAAATCCTCATGAGCCCTCATCAGTTGAACGATAAAACACAGTGGCTGAAACCTTCCAATCAAGGTCCAATCATTCTTGTTGTACCTCCCATTTCGTTGATTTCTGCTTACCTCCCCATTGCCACTCATCCTTGGTGACATCCCACCGGAATCGCCTGTGCCGCTCGTTGCTTTCGCTCCAGTGCTGCGGCGTCCTCCCCGACGCAGGTGGAGTAGAGCACATTGACGCACGGTCCTAGCGTCCACAGGGATGGAATTGTGTCAGTTTCTTGTGGGGTGGGATGCAAAAAATTGGAGATTTGCATAAGTATTTGCACAATTCTCAATCAGTTCCAACCAATATCACCAATCCAACCAATCCAACCAATCCAACCAACACACGGAAGCCAAGTAGCTTTGTAGCTCCACATCGCGTGAATTCAGGGCATAGACTAAGGCCTCTAACACCCCGGCCTGGCGTTTTCGGGGAAGCAGGTCATCAATTGATGGAGATTAGACATCAAATATATCGCTGGACTCGGTGTGTCAATGGGCCACCTTTGTTGCCTTGTTTGGAGTCCGAGAAGCCAAAATGCAACTGCACAAAAACCAAACATTTAATCATTTAAATATCATTTAACCATATATATATATTGAGAGAAGCCAAAAATATGGCCTTCCAAATATGGCCTTCCGGTTCAACCATCTTGAATCCCATATGGCCCGTACCATTCTCCATGAATCATGGTGATTGGTAGGTTAGCATTACAACCCATCATACACATCATCATCCCACCATCATTCCAATCTTTGTGTTTGAATCCCTTAAACTTGTTGACAATTATCTCATCCACATCCAAGTCATCACATCATTGGTAGAACTGATTTAAAATGATTGAACATGTTATTTGTCTGTTAAGGTACCTATCCCATAGTACCAAATTATTCATACAATTGAATTTCACTATTAAATTATGTTGAATTTATCCCACAATAAAACCATATGATTATCAACAACGATTATGTTTCACAATTGTGGTGAGAAAGAATCCATTATTAAACATACTGATTATGATATCATTATCTTCAACAATGATCCCAATCATAATGATTCACTACTATCATAGTGATTAACTATCATTAATGACATTCCCATGATTAACTATCATGAACTACTACTATCATTAATCATAATGATTAACTACTACAAGTACCAAGCAAAATAATTACCACTATGAACCCATAAATGCCATGAATCATGATCCCCAATCATTCCATGTTACCACTATGAACCTGTTTTTTTTTCCCACCATAAAAAAAAACAAAAACATCCCATCATCCCGGGCCCCATGAATAGCTATTACCACTATCACAGTTATATTAACCATTGGTAATATATGGTAATACAATGGTTTATGATATATTAGCAGTTATCTGTTATCATCCCATCATCCCATCATCCCATGAACATATATCCCATATAATAGTTACTAGTTATTACCATTATCATAAACCATGAAATATTACACCACTATCACAGTTATTTTTTCACCACTATCATAAACCATGAATAGTTAACCCACTATTATACCCACTATTATAACCCACTGGTTAACTATTACCCTCTGGTAAACTAACATAGCTATTGAAAATGGCCATTTATAGTGGATTTTCCCATTAAAAATTGTGATTTTCCATAGCTATGTTAAATTACCAGAGGGTAATCCTATGTTTTTTTAAAATTGTGATCCCACTACCCCATCCAACCTCCACGGCTCGTTGCGGCATCTCGTCCTCCATCACCTCCCAGAGCTTCCACAAGGCCCAGGCGCCACAGCCGCGCAGCTCCACGTCGTCGCTGTGTAAGGCCGTGGCCAAGGCACTGATGCTGGAGGCCAAGGACGTGGTGAAACCCACCTGCAACGGGACAAACCCATGGGAAGAGGTTTCTATAAGTTGTTGTACAAACCATATACAGTATATATATATATATGTAACTTATATAACCATTGATTATGTTATATATAACCAATTATGATCAATTATGTCATTTATGTATAAAGATAAGCTTTCTGTCAGAAAAAAAAAAAACATATATCAACAATCATTGTTCTATGGCATAATCTTGGATGGGAACCAAAAAACAACTTGCCACCAAACAGATTATGATTAGTTATGCAGGTGAATCCCCATGCTGGAAACATGGTTAAATCTGTTCAATTCCCATGTTTGTCGCTTGAATACCAATCATTTCATGCTTATACCAACCCAAATATCCATCATCAGCAAAAACACCAACATTTTAAATCATGAAACCAATATATATATAATACATATATATAATACATAATTATATGTCTTTTCTATCACCATTTTTTCCTGAAATCCCCCAGTACTTTCGCACCTCCATAGCATGTTGCCGCTGCTTCTTGGCCGCCGAGTCCTCCCCGCAGCAGATGCGCAGCCCGGCACAGGCGGACCAGGTACGACAGCGCACATCCTCCAGCTGAAGGGCGGCCAAGAGCACCTCCAAACCGCCGGCCTGGCGATTTAGCAACTGGGTGATGGCGGATGGTGCCAAAGATGTGGGATTAACAAAAATGTGGTTTGAATCATCTTAAAATCACAAAATATCTATATAGTCATATAGTCATATAGTCATATCATATAGTTCAAGGAGGTTTCACCCTCAACATCTTTAATCTGCCAGAAAAAACCAACGCTTTATCCATAAGATTGAGATTGGATCATGGATAGTACGTGATAATTTCCATGGATCAATGCTTCACATTTGGCGATGCAAGGACCTCCCATTTAAATTCGTGAAAATTCCCGTGCAGAACTGGGGTGAATGGATGTCTTGTTGAACAAGAAAAGTGTTCCTGATCTGTCGAAAATCAACAAATCCATGTCACGGCCACGACAACTGATGATTTCTCAGACTTAATCGACATTTAATATATGTCACATTGCCCAACTATAATTGAAATCAATTTCAAATTCATCGTTCATCAACCAACACACATCATCACCCCATGTTTCCTTGGTGACATCCCCCCTTCAACCAGAACCTTGACCAAATCCCTACTACATCCACTACAGCTCCAACGAGTACCTTGAAAACTTGGTGCTTCAGTTTGGTTCCAGCCGCATCTTCGGCCGAACAAAGGCTGTACAGCGCTCCGGCGGCCCAGCCCTGAACTTTCACGTCTTCTCCTTGGATCAGATTGGAGCAGGTTGGGTTTCGGACCGGAAATCATCAGAATTCCCATGAAATCCCATGAAATCCACCGTTAAAACAATCATTCTACTGGGCTGCAAGATGAGTTGCTGACAGTACCATGGAAATCACCAAGAACGCAGAACATGTTGTGCAAATGGATGTACCCTCTGGTAAACATACAAAAAACTATGGAACATCACCATTGTTAATGGGATGACTCACTATTTCTATGGCCATTTTCAATAGCTATGTTAAATTACCAGACTCTAACAATCGATGCGTCTCGTTGCCCCAAAAAGGTCCAATGTTGCAGGACGTGTTGAACTACTGAATACACTGCAAAGTTCTATAGGTGCCGTACGGAAAACCCATGGCAAATTTTCCAGTAGTTTTCCCTTTTGGGTGGTGTTCCTCCCAGCATCTGTGTGCCACCATGGCGGCCACTAAGGCTTCGATAGCGCCTGCCTGGCCATCATGGGACAGATGGAATGGTGCAGCGCTACACAGTAGAGGAATAGTAAACCACTGGACAAGTAGATTAGGAGATCCCTATAGACTATGGATAAACTGGGGACATCAATAGATCACAAAGAGCCTGCAAAACTTGAAGTACTTGGCCCTTGAACTGAACCTATGCCCTCTGTACAGAACTGGAACCCACAACATCCTACAATAATATACACATAAACCCTAGATCTCTATGGTGGAACCCCCCAAAGTGGCCGTGACAGCCCATGACAATCGCTAGAAACCAAAACTACTGGATAAACCCAAAGCACGACATAACCACTATTGTATGTCCCTTTTAGTATGGAAATTTGATGCACTTGCCAGCTTTTAACCCTCTACGTAGTCAAACAACAACTACTTTCTGACAAGTAAATTTACAGCACCATCTTTTGATCCTCAGGGGTATTATATATATATTAGAGTACACATTATGGCAATACTAATGACAATGATAACAATATATGTTATAAATTACATTGCCACAAACAAGCCGGTACCAGCATAGACCAAATCACTCTTCTCGTGAAATAGACGCGCCCGAGGACAAATGAAAAACGAATCGTTGGCAACAAAAATGTAAAGAAGAGTGTGAAAAGACTACTGAAACCTAAGAAAACTTACAACTTCACTCAAGTCCTTTTATTCATAGTCAAGCAGGTGACGTCAGTTGTTAATTCGAACACAACCCACGGAATCCAGCAACCAGCATTACTTGGACCGCTTGGACCAATCTCAAAACCATGGCCCGCATATGAAAAAAACACCTGGCAGAATTTGAAGCCCTGGATTTCTGGAAGGTCCAGTTGCATCTGGATTTCTGAAAGTCAGCAGATCTGTACATAAAAAACACCATCTCATCAGCCTGCGAAACACGCACTCAGAGAACTGAAGGTATAAAACCCATCAAAACCCCACAGAATCAAGCTTCAATTTCTCAATTCAACAGAAACGCACTCAATTTATATAAGCATACAATCTCTTTTTTCCCCCATAGGTTTGACCATTTTGGCAATACATCCGGAAAAATTACCCATCGAACCAGGGCTCCACGTTCACCAATCGCACCTTCGCAGCTTGCTGTTTCCATCTCACCGCCGAATCGCCGCAAATGTTGTGCAAGGCTTTGGCAGAATGAAACCTGAGCTGCTGCCGGGGTTGGTTACCCTTTGGTAAACAAACAGTTTGCTATTGAAAAAACATCAAAAATTGCCATAGAAATAGTTGATTTACCCATTAAACATGGTGATTTTCCATCGATTTTGCTTAACGTTTACCAGGCCGGGTAAATTACTGAACCAAAGCCCAAGTGGTTGAGTTCGTCGACCGTTCTGCAATGGATGATTCCAGGGTTTTTTGTCCACCCCTCCAAAATACGAAACCATACGGAAAGCGGTATCGACAAGTTGATGTTTGTTTTATATTCAATCTACACATCAATGATATAATATATATATATATATATTATAAATGTAGACATATATCAATATATATATATATGTATATATATATATATATTATATATATATATATATATGTATATGTTGTAATTGGTAGTGCCACTTCTGAAACTGTCCACCCTGTTGCAACGCACCCAGCAATCTGTTTTGCTGCCACCGCTAGGATCCCAAAATCAGGCACCAGCTACTGCAGGTTGGAAGGAGCACCGCTATCTTCTTGAAGGCACTTGTGAACGACCACGTTCACCAACAAACCAAATGGTGATCCCGGTCACCACGGATGTAGCTTATGGCTCAGGCGGAATTCCCACCCACCCGCAAGTCCTGGCTTACCCTGAAGCCTCTGCCTTGAGTCAAAGGCCAGCGGTTGGTCAGTGTTAGACCTGGAGAGGATGCTGCATGAACCTGATTGGAAGGTGAGGCTTTACATTGGAAAATCACACTCCCAAAAATTATTGTTTTCTGACTTTGCTGGATTCAACCTGGTGAATCAACATGACATCATGGCTTATGGTGATGGCTCCGTTGCATCTCTCTCCGAGGAGGCTTGTTTAAGCCAGCGAATTCGGTCTTTGGTATTGGCTCGAGACTTGAGCAGCGCTGTTTCATCGGTCAGCCGATATGATCCATGCTTGAGTGTGGCTCTGAGGAAATGAGCCTCCATTGCCTTTGTGAGTGAATCTGCCAATTGTGCCCCTGTATGTACCCATCTTAACTTAGTCCCCTCTTCAAGTGATTCTTCAATGGCACGGGCAACTAACTGAATCCGGTATTCAGAGCAAGATGGTGGTGCAGTTCGGGATATCAAGTCACAGAGGGATTTACAATCAGTTACTGTGAGGTCAGGATATTCCATGGGGGTTACAACCGAAATTGCTGACGGAATCTTGGGTAGTGCTTCATCTGGTCTTCTCCACTGGGTTCGTGGATCGTGAAGCCAGCTCCAAAAGATTCGCAACCAAGAAAGCTGATCAACTGAAGACGCCAAGGCCATTGTCTCCGCCGCAAGGGTACTAGTAACAACCCGTTGGATCTTTTTGGAACCCCACGCAATTGGACTAATCGGACATTGAACATTTGAATCAATTTCTTTGTGAGTCGCTACGATGATATGTCCGGCATGTGAGTCAGGCTTATTGTGGGAAGAAAATGATGCATCACTGAATGCCATGAATCTTAAATCATCTGGACCTATTGACTTGATTGTTATCGTGACATCATGATGGTGCTTGGCTTCATGAAGAAGCTTGTTTCCTTCATTAAGTGTTTCAATTGTCGCCTTATTTATGGATGATTGAAGAAGGGACAACCTACTGGATAAATCGGGTCGAGTGTGGGTTGCAGCATACTGCAAACTCCCGATCAAACCTCTGAGTGCCAACCGTTCTTCCTCAGTTACTTCAAGTTCTGGTTGGGTTTTTCGATTGACTTCAATTTTGATTGGTGGGATCTTACACACGTACTTTGATTGGCTCAAGGTAATGCTGTAATCTCCATGCTGTTGAACATCTATTCCAGTGAAAGTGAAACCACTTGTTTTGTGACTGCCAAAAGGAAACTTCTGTTCTAACTTTCGGATCTGCTCATCGAAGTAGGAATCTCCACCGCCTATCCCATCATCTACATGGATACCAACCACCCCTGCAAGACGGCCGGGTTGCTGATCAGTGGACGGATGTCTCAGCACAAACAGACATGGATCCATGGGACTAGGTTCGAACTGAAGTTTGGTCAGTTCTTCAACCAACCATAGAAATGGTGCATCTACGAGCCCGTAGGCTCCCTTGTTGAGCTTGGCCAGTTCCTGAGGTGACATGTTCATGGCTCTTCTGAGTTCAGGAACAGGGTCAACTATGATCAACCTATTTTCCTGTGGTTTTCCTTGGAGAAATGCTGCTTTCACATCAAACGATTGAAGCAACCATTTGTGGGAAGAAACCAGTTGTAGGGCAATCATTTTTGACGTTCTGCCTAGCGTGGGACTATCACGGGGAATACTTTCAAGAGAAGGATCCATGAATCCTAGGATGACTACTCTGGCTTTGGCCTTTCGGCCCTTTGATTGAGATGGTGCTTGTGGATCAGGGTCAGTCTCTTTCCATGTCAGGATCCATCGGCATTTCATGATCTGAGAGTCAGGAATCTGGTTACGGAGCACCTTTGAAATAGTGCCTGTCTTTATCCAGTTCTGTACCTCTGTCTCTTTGGCAGCTGCGAATTGGGCTTTCTCGGATGGAGTAAGTTCGGATAAACGAACTTCAGTGCGTTGTTTCTTGGCTGATGTTGCTAACAATGCCCATGACTCTGATTCATCTGGGGTATGGTCATGTATGGAACACGGCAATAGAATTTCGAACTCACATTTCCATGCATGGTCATGGTCGGTAGCCTCTTGCAACGCGCAGGGAACATCAGTGCAAATTAAGTTCACTGTGGCAAGTGTGGGGTCATCTTCACCCACAGATCCTCGGTCACTGGACTGTGATTCAATTGGATCAGTTGCGGGTTCATCACTCTCTGGTTCCGGCTGCGGAATTGATCCCTCGGTTGGAGAAGCTGCATTCTGTTCTTCTGGAATTGGTGGCAATTGATTGTCAGGTGGAATAGGCATACTTTCTTCCAGGTTCTCGGATGTATTCATCCCTTGTAGTGGTTGTTCTTCCTCACTGCCTCGTGACATGTTTTGGATCTGGTGATGGATTTGGGTCAAATCTTCCGGGAGATCAGGGCCCTCTGGTTGCCCCTCTTCAGGAACAGCAAGACGAATGTGCTCTGGAGCCCCTCGGTACAGTTTACCAGCATTGGTGCACCACACGGTTTGGTTGCCATCTTGGATTATTACCCTAAGGGGACCAAACCACTTATGTCTAGGGGGTTCATGATTTTGATCGAGTCTCCAAAGCATTATCCATTCCCCTCTATGGAACACTCCCCGGCTTGGACATGATCGACCGAGACCCGCACGACGCAGCACATCGCTGTTGTCAGCGGCATGATATGCTCTTCTGGCAGCTTCACGCAGCATTAGCATGTTTCGAAAGTCTTTGGATCCCATCTGTGTTTCTTCATCCAAAGCATTCATGTGGGAAGGGGTGGATTCATCGCTCAAAACTGATCCTGGTAGTCGAGAATGTTTTCCAAAAACGATGATTTCGGGGGCATACCCTTTCCTAACCGATAAGGAATTTTTCGAATGGGTGCATTGGTTTAGGCTTTGTTGAAGGTCATGGTATGATCTGATTGGGAACTCGATGTCTACTTTGGTCAACATTTCTTGAAGAAACCTACCATGACGTTCGATTCTGCCATTCTTCCAGTGACTGTCGGGTTCGGACGTGCTGCATTTAATACCAAACCTGCTGGTGAATTGTTCGAAAGCACTGCTGTTCATCTCAGTCCCGGAATCAAGGAAAAGCTCACTTGGGGGACCTGCCCAGCTGATCCAGTGCTTGTTAATCAAGTCTATCAAGTTTTCAGTGGATTTGGAAGGGGCTACAACCGCAACATGATAGTTTGATCCTGCATCGAGAATATGGTACAAATGATACGTCTTTCCTTGGCTATTGGTCCAATCAATTCCATCAAGGTATATTCGGTGATTAAAATCCAGTATTGGCTTTAATCGTGCAGGTCGGGCAGATTTTGGGGTTTCCTGGGATTTACAAATCTGGCACATCAACTCCTGGGCAGCTTGGATCAACCCCGGATGGGCACCCTGCACTTGCAATGCTTTCGCCAATCGGTCATTTGATGGGTGGCCGAGATTCTTGTGAACTCGCAACAACCACTGTTGTTCCCATCGTGGTAACATCTTGAATCTCAGACCTTGTTGACCTTTGTTTATTTCAGGGGTTTGGGGTGACTCAGGCATTCCAGGCTCTGGATTCCTGGTTGTCATGTCTACCTCTCGTGGCATGGTGTTCTCTGTCTCGATCTCTTCGGACCGGACGGGAACTGCTGAATCACTGCTGGATGGCGGAACTGGTGCTCCGGATGAGCTGCTCTCAGCGTTGGGATCTGATGGAAATTCTGTGGCAAAGATGGTGATGTTTAACCGGCAGGCGTGTGCAGGTCGAATGAGTTGTCTCTTTGATAGTTGATCCCATCGCTCCCAATGTTTCTCCACAGTTACTTTTCCGGTGCTTCGGATTACCATCAGTGAACGACGATAGGGCGCCTCTTGAGGCAACATTTCCGGTGGTGGACCCAAAGTGCGGTCAGTTCCGCGGCAGGCAATGACGCGTTGAATCAACTTTTGGGGAAACAAGTTCTGCAGCTCGGAAATGATTTCCCTGTCGGTGATTTCAATCTTACCTACCCTAGGGGCCCTTATTGATACTGACTGGATAACATGTTGGTAAGACTCCAAACTGGACACTTTGCTTTGCTTGCCTGTCAGTTTCCGACGTTTGGCATCCGGTGATGCTCTGGGCTCTGGGTGGACCACTTCGGATCGAACGAATTTCGGCACTTTCGGCTGTGAGACCTTCTTGGTTGACCCAAGGGCAAGACACGGATCAGTTTCTTGCACGACTAGCATACCCGGCTGCCAATGGACTGGCCATTCATGCATGTGTCTGGTCATGACATGTGCTACAGCTCTAGCAAACTTTCGGGGGTATACTTCTGAGAACTGTGTCCTGAGTATACTGCCTTTGGATGTGCATGTGGTACCTTCAAGTTTCTGATGCTCATGGTTGTGCTGACACTTGAGTCCGTGAAACCTTCTGTACATCTCTTGGCTGGTTGTGAGAATCACAAGGCTCTTTTTGATGGGCATTTCATTTTGGGGGTCCCTTAGGTCACCGGCCCTGCAAAGGTCAAGTTCACATGCCAGGGTGTATCGATGGATTTCAGCCATCTGCGATAACTGGAACATGAGACTCCGGCCAGGCTGCTCCCAATGAAAATGATCTCCATGTGACATTTGATACCTGAACAACACTATGCCAAGTGCAATTTGGTACAACAAATCGTGACGCTTCTGTTGATACATTTCTTCATGGAACAAAGACCTGGAGGCATTCAAGTGCGTCCACGAGGACCATGGGCCGCATGTCGGTGAATACCATAGATGTTTGGGTCGGTGGCGACAGATCATGGTGAACAATTGCTTTCGACCCTCTAAGGTTTCCAAGTCACCCTGTTGATACCCAAACCGGAATGCACGAGCATTCATCTGATTCACTTGATGCGTCAACGGAGACTTATCACTGCAGAAAATCTCCCCCAGTGTCCATCGAGTACCATAGGATCGAGTTCTTGATTTCACTTCATCCATTTCTTGGGTTATCTGTGCTATCAACTTGTGAAGAAAAACTGTCTCATCATGGACACTCGTGACTACGGGATCAGCGGCCTCATCATCACTCAGTTGGTCTTGTACTGAGCGTTCTCGAGGTGGTGAATCACTTTCTGAAGGGCGTCCTCCATGTTGCCCATCCTGGACTGCAGTGCATCGATCATCTCCTGTTGCTCCACCTGGGCAGTCATAGTCATGGCTCCGTACATCTCGGTCTCGGAGACCACGCTTTCGGCCCCAGCCTGCGAAGAGATGTCGATGGCCTCGCCATGATGCACCATGGTACTGGATGGGGCGGCCTTTGGACGGCACTTGGCTTTTGGCATCATGGGGCCCTGGGACTTTGGCAGCACTGGGTGCTGCTGCATCTCTGCCTCCATCGTCTCGATCTTCAGCTCCACATACCTCAGGAACCGCATGTGAGCTTCTTTGGAGCTCTTGCGGTAACGGGAAGTCATGAACTTCACCCATTCCTGATCGGACCATGCTTCGGCATACGTATGGCCCATGTGGGCTTCTCCGAACGATACCACTTCGTTCTCCAGCTCTTCCAGTGTCAGGTGATTCAAATCGGCTCTCACCTCCTGTTCCTGCATCGACTGCACGGCTTTCAATCTGGCTGTCAGATCGGACATGATTCACCGCTCTGGGAGGTTCGTCGCAGAGAGACGGTGGCACGTACGGATCTTGAGACACATGTGAATGGCTCTCATCATTCTGAAATCGGACCTTCTTGTGAAACGCAGGTGCTGGTGGTGTGGAACATGGTGTCTTTGCAGGTGACTTGATCTCATGGGTCATTGGCATGTTCATGGTTGATTGATTTTCACTGATATGGTCATGACATGATGTGTGAGGTCCTACTGGTACGGCTACAACTTCACTGAGTGGTTGTTGGGATTTCGAAACTTCCTGATGTTCCATGGCGCTCGGCTTGGCATTCCATTTCACCTCTTCGGACACAAAAGTCTCGGTGATTGGCTGTGACGCATTCATCTTGCATGACTGCCGCACTAAATCATTGAGGTCCAGCAAAAACAAACCCTTTTGTGTGAGGTGAAGGTCAATGGGCTTGGAGAGCATTGGGCTAACAAGCTTTCGTGACTGGCAGTCAATCTGTGCTTCAAGCGCCCTCATCAGCGCATTTGAAAGGAGAAAAGGGGTGCCCCCTTCAACAATGGCAATCTTTAAAAGGCGGTTTCCGACTGGAACTACCAATGCTTGCTTGGAGGTCAACGTACCTTCATTTCCAAACCGGAAAGTTATATTGCAGGGACACCTCTGAAGCTTGGCCCTCACTTGGGGCTCAAGACCATTGATCAAGCTTGCAAGTTGCGTGGTTCCAATTACAGTCTTTGAGGCTCCTAGGTCCAAAATACCAAATGAGCTATGTGTTGCAAAACACGTCACTTCAGTGGAAACATCACTTTGGGTTTTATGGGTCCTTACTCTGTTGATAGGTTGGTTATGACCTGGACGTTGGGACATGGTGACACTGAACGGTTGGCTTCTCTCACGGCGGCATTTCAGCTTGGCTCGGATCTCATCGGCGGATGCTTTGAGCTCACTCCTGCGGCCCCACTGTTGGAGGCGTTGTCGAGCTGTTGACATGGCATGCACAGGAATGTTAAGATTATCCCTCGATTTCCCCAGAATCTCCCTAACCTTATTATTCCCTTGGTGATTTACCCCCACACCAGCTAAAACGGCTTCTACCTGATCATAACTGGGCTCCTGGTCAAGTGTGGATTGGTCACACTCAGGCAGCTGAAGAAACTCCAAGGCCAAACCCTCGTCGGAGTTCATCGTGACACTGGTGGTGGCAGCGGCAGTGGTGGACATGGATGCGGCACTACTGGTCTGATTCTCAGACCTCTGGGGACACTCGGCCTTCCAGTGACCTTTTCGGCCACAATTTCTGCACGTTGACGACATGATTCTCTCCTGTAGGGACCGTTTCGGTCGCACAAAACTACCCTTCCCTTTTCCAGAAAACGGCTGATGCGATCGACCCTTACCTTTGGACCATGATGTAGAGGATGACGTTCCACCTGGCCTGCTTGGCGGCCAGAATCCCCTGTGTCGCTGTTTCTCCGCCAATCGTTGGCGGGCATCTTGATACGCCGAAAAGGCACTGGCGAGATCGTTATCCTCCTGAATCACTTCCTGAACGGTCGCCTCATAGTCAATGACAAAGGCGGCATCAGGATCTCCTTCTTGCAAGAGTTGATCCAACAACTCATCTTCACCAATCTCGTCAGTAGCCAACACTGGCTGTTCAGCTGATTCGTCATCTTCTGCAACCAAAACAGCAGTATTGTCATAGACTTTCAGTTTGGCGGATTGTTTCTGACCTGTCATCGCACCGAAAAAAGTTGGAACCTAACAGTCGAATTGCGTCTGTCACGCGAGAAACTGTCAGCTTTCCGGTCGATGAGCTGTCTGCATCGAGAATGACCTTCTTCTTCTCTTCCGGGGACAACGTGCTACCTCTGAGTAACACGAACGCTTGCAAGTCTTCCCAACTAAGTTTCCTAGACATCAGGCGGCTCCACAAAATGTCAGCACGGGCTAGGAAACTGTCGTTGGTCTCATCGGATCTTTGGCTACAGTGATACAAGGCCTGTTCAGCCTCTTCATACTGTTTCTGCAATGCGATTCTTCCCCATGAGCCTCCAAGAAGCTCGATCAACTTCTGGACGGCCTTCTCGTCTTCGGAGGACAACTCATGGTGATTGAGCTGCAGTTTCTGGAAGGCACTTCCCTGGCAGTTGAGTATCAAACGTGTCACTAGCTCCTGGATACGGTTCTTGGGCCAGGCAGCTAATACTAGTTCAACTCTTTGTTGGTACATGGTCATGTCATCTTTTGCAGGATCGAACGTCGGCACCAGACTGGCTAATTGGTTGCTCACTCCAAATCCGTTGGATGAACCTTCACCTGCTGACGCCTCGGACATTGCCCCGGATGCTGCACTTTGGCAGCTCCGCTACCAATGTAATTGGTAGTGCCACTTCTGAAACTGTCCACCCTGTTGCAACGCACCCAGCAATCTGTTTTGCTGCCACCGCTAGGATCCCAAAATCAGGCACCAGCTACTGCAGGTTGGAAGGAGCACCGCTATCTTCTTGAAGGCACTTGTGAACGACCACGTTCACCAACAAACCAAATGGTGATCCCGGTCACCACGGATGTAGCTTATGGCTCAGGCGGAATTCCCACCCACCCGCAAGTCCTGGCTTACCCTGAAGCCTCTGCCTTGAGTCAAAGGCCAGCGGTTGGTCAGTGTTAGACCTGGAGAGGATGCTGCGTGAACCTGATTGGAAGGTGAGGCTTTACATTGGAAAATCACAATATGTATGTATGTATATATATATACATACACAAATGCGCATTTAGCGTATACATACCGTACATAACACATCATGATTGTTTCTTTTGTCTATACATACCCAAGTGGTTGGTTATGTCAGTAGGCTCTCAGCTGCCGAGTGACTGCACATCTTCATCATCTGCATGGGCCTTCATGGCAGAGACCAAGGCTTCTAGCCAGCCAGCCTGGCCATGACATGCCCATGGGGTGCCCCCCAAAAACATGAGAGGTGACATGCCAAAAGAGCATCAACATTGATGGTCATATTATAGTCATAAGTCATGGATATGTGCGGTTTATTAAATTTACGCAAAAGAAAAAAGTAAGAGACCAATAGGATTACATTACATGGGAGCTTGTGCTTGTTGCTTTGTCTTTTTTCAGGACACAAAGAAAAGAACACAATAGAACTAACGTGGCACCAAGTGCACTCCCCAATCACTGACCATCCTGCATCTTCGAATGTGAAGAACTACACCACTCAAGTTTGGTGGCTTCGAATAAGTTTTGATCCATCTTGATCCATCTCTAGATTGATTAAATGACTCAACATCACCAAAACAGGGATCTACAGGTGCGCCACGTCCGTGCACAAAGGGGCCTAGCTCATCTTGATCTGCTACGGTCGGAGCCGTACAGCAAAAGCAGAAAAGTTGAATCTATGGTTTCACAGATTTTTTTTCAGAACGGAAGTTCAAGTTACCCTCTGGCAAACTAACATTAACTATTGAAAATGGCCATAGAAACAGCGAGTTTTCCCATTAAAAATGGTGATTTTCCATCTTTTATTCTATGTTTACCAGAGGGTATTTCAAGTTCAAACTATCGTTCAACACCAGGAACAAAGGGAAATCAGCTGCCCCAGTGGCTCGACCTCCACTGCCTGCTGCTTGCGATCGAGGCCGGCCACATCGCTGCCTTGACAGATCCGATCCACCATACCTGTGGAGGAGGTGCAGGACCATTTGGATGTGGCCACCAAGTTGTTCACCATGAAAACCATCGATGAAAACCATCAATTAATACCATACAATACCAGTACCAATCATTCTTGAAGCACATTAAATAAGTTAAATCAGCCATGATCCATTTAAGACACACAATTTTTATGTTTTTCGGGACAAGTTCCGGTCCAGTGTATTGCTGGTCCCCTCCAAGTCGACCAGCTTGTTTCTATGGTTGGTTACCATCTGGTACTGTCGTTTACTACCAATCTATCCAATTATATAGCCATTTAATAGTCAATTACGGTCATAAGCATCAATTGCAAACAATCAGAATCACAATTAGCCAAAATCATTCTAAGCCATATTTATCAACCATCAATTAATAACCATCATGTATACAAACTAACTAACCCATTTACCATCTGGTTATTTAACATAGCCATGGAAAATCCCAACCATAAATGGAGGTTTCTAGCCGGGAAAATCATCTATTTCTATGGGCCATCTATACCATGGCTATGTTAAATAACCAGAGGGTAGATTAATCATCAAGTACCCTCTGGTAATTTAACATAGCTATTGAAAATCACCATTTTTAATGGGAAAATCCACTATAAATGGCCATTTTCAATAGCTATGTTAAATTACCAGAGGGTAAATTAATCATCAAGTACCCTCTGGTAATTTAACATAGCTACTGAAAATCACCATTTTTAATGGGAAAATCCACTATAAATGGCCATTTTCAATAGCTCTGTTAAATTACCAGAGGGTAAATTAATCATAAAGTACGGTAAATTAATCATCAAGTACCCTCTGGTAATTTAACATAGCTACTGAAAATCACCATTTTTAATGGGAAAATCCACTATAAATGGCAATTTTCAATAGCTATGTTAAATTACCAGAGGGTAAATTAATCATCAGGTACCCTCTGGTAATTTAACATAGCTATTGAAAATCACCATTTTTAATGGGAAAATCCACTATAAATGGCCATTTTCAATAGCTATGTTAAATTACCAGAGGGTAAATTAATCATCAGGTAAATTAATCATCAAGTACCCTCTGGTAATTTAACATAGCTATTGAAAATCACCATTTTTAATGGGAAAATCCACTATAAATGGCCATTTTCAATAGCTATGTTAAATTACCAGAGGGTAACCCATTTAAATTAATCATCAATTACTCCCTTAAATGGCCATGTCATCCGATCACCAGCTTTCTCCTAGTTACAGGCGGCCCAGACTTGCACTTTGGCTTCATCCTGATGCCATGTCATGGCTGCCACCATTGCTTCCAGCGCACCGGCCTGGGAAATCATCAGAAATTGGCACATGTCAGTGGAAAACAACTATTTATAGATGATTTTCCCAGAAAATATCCATGTTTAATTGGTACAACAACTCCGTAACTCCAAAGTCAAGTTTTTCATGGGCGGAGAGTGACCTGAATCGTCATCAGCCTGCGAAGCGGAACTTTGGTTTGAGATTGATGTTCCCCAAACGGGTCTTACCCGGTCTTCATGCTGAAAATCCCAAAAATGCGATGCGAATCTACGATGGTCGTGTTGGGCCAAGTAATCATTGTGTTTTGTCGACCAGAAATCTGTTGGTTCATCCAGGATTCATCCCTGCGGGTGACAGCCAACGACGCCTCGACAGCCTGACGTTTTCGTTGCGCAGCAGCTTCATCGTCACCAGAACAAATGCCTAGTGCACCGGCAAAAAGGGGACACCACTTCCAGTGGTGCAACCCATCGGACTAGAAATGATTAGACATGGAAGAAATGCTGGAAGCCACGGTGGTCACTTGGAGGCCCCAATTTAGCATCCCAACTAGGTAGGCAGTCACCCACAATTAATCACACAAAAAGTGAACACTTGAGTAAATAGAATAAATAACCATCCAACATGTCAATTAAACACGTTTTTTTTTACATAATTATCCACAATTCAATTAACATTCAACATATTATCTGCTATACATTTGAAATAACTTCTATAACTTTTCATATCAGCATCCATCAATCTTATTTGATATCAACATCCATCAATCTTTACCAATAATTCAACTATTCAACATTGATTTTTGCATCCCAAAAGTCTGGCGGCACCCTCTCCGCAAAGTCAAGTCGCTGGCCACCGGACAAGCCGCCCAGCTCTGCACTCGCGCATCCGCATGGTGCGTCTTCATGGCAGCCACCAAGGCTTCAATGGCACCAGCCTCACCGTCAGATGCTTCGGTCTCCATGGGAGAAAACTTAGAGATATGACTAATGTGGTGAAAACAATGCCATAAACCATCCTCAACATCACCATTTTTATGGGTGGTATAAACCATCAACAAATGTGCTGGTTTATTATATTGTTTTACCATGTTTTACCCACATTAATGATCTGGGTATAGCTGAAAATTGGGTACCACTAAAATCGACCAATATCAATCTCGGACCCCTGGATCCGCCTGGATCCGCCATGGTATAACCGGTATAACCATGACCAATGGCTATCCATGGGGTTTTGTGAAATCCTGGATCACCCATGGTTGTAGCAATGGTAAAACCAGTATAAAACCCCATCCACCTCAACCATCTCAACCCCGTTCCCAGGGCCCGATGGCCTCGGCCGCCTGCTGCTTATGCCGCAGCGCCGTGGCATCTTTCCCCACGCAGAGGTCGTACAAGGCGCGGGCAGCGCTCCGTTGCAGGTCCGCTTCCAAGGTCTTCAGGTCCGACACCAGCGACTCGATCGAGGCGCCCTGGCAGATGGGCACCTGGGAGAAACCTGAAGAAATGGCACTTTAGATGTAGGAAAATCAATGAAAAATCATAGGAAAATAATGGAAACTCATCCTCTAAGGCTCTTTTTTGTGGATCTGGAAATGGATCGAAAGACTGGTTCTGTTCAGATTGATCCAAGATGCTGATCAGTAGATCTTCATTGTCCAATTCATAGCTTCTTGCCCAGTTCCATCGTCCCCATATACCCCATATATCCACTTTGTGGTTGCAAATCTATCCCCTTTGTTGTTGACTACAGCAGTCTCATCCACTTTTTGCAGGTCAAACACCAAGCAAATTCCTCAAATCTATGGACAACATCCCTAATAAATTGCCATTTCCGTTTGTTTTGGCAATTTTTGCCATCTTTCCTGGATGAAATCTACATCTCTCATCCTTTCCGTTTCGTTCAAAACATGATTTGAACCCGATCCCCGCAGCTTCCAGGTGTACCCCACCTGCGATCCAAGCGCCTTGCCGTAGACCGTGGGCGGCGCAGGTGAGGCCGAGGGTGCTGTAGCCGCAGCCGGCCCAGCCGGCCGCTCGGGGCGGCGACCTGACGGTTGTTGTCCATAGGATTCATAAGATATGATAATTATATATGTATATATATATTATGATATAATGATGGTAAGATAATAGGATACTTATATATACTTATGATGATTATGATTATAATGATAATAATATCCATAGGATGATAGAATAATTATGATGATTATTCATTTAAAAATATGGGATTCATATGATCGTTTGTTTATCCTATTTTTATTGGCCCGTACTCCAACATTACATCATCATGATCCATGGTTATTATCTATGGTTATTATCTATGGTTATATCTATGGTTATATCTATGGTTATTATCTATGTTCTTATTGCATGATACTATTACATGCCCAAATTTGGTTGTGTTGTTTGACAACTTCAGGTGGCTTCAGGTATGTTTTACACCACCATGTTTTACACCAAAGTAGTAGATCAACTTCCAGGGATCTGATCATTTTTTAGACGTCCAAAAAAAAATGGCAGAGTACTCTTACTACAAAACTCATGAGTGCTCTGAACCAGTACGGCCAGGAGTCCCTGCTGGCGAATGTTGGGGATTCGGGGATCCGACGAACGCTGGAAATGGAAGTCCTCTTTATGGGTCTACGAAAGCTCGTTGGAACCAGAATCCCTGTTATCTCCTTTTCACCCAATCTTGCTTTCCTTCACATAGAACAATGGCATGACACGCTCAGGTTTATATGCATCCCTTATTGAAGATCTTCAATCAGTGTAATAGTTTGACGGGGGTGGGGGATGTGATCCCTTATTGAAGATCTTTAATCAATGAAGTAGTGTAACACGTATAGTAAGTTGGGATAAGGTACAAGTTGGGACGATTTTGAGTATGGGCGAACGGCAGCGCCCGAGCCTACTAGTACTAAATGACTATTCCAACTATTCAAACGTATAGTACATCAAAAATATTCATATATCCATCATGATCTATGGTATAGTATATACACCATATTCATACATGATCCACCAGATTCATACATCAAATAGTTTCAAATAGTATATATCATTATATATCCACCATGATCCACCGATGAATGCATTGCCAAAGGGCCCAGTGGACCGCTGCATGCGGCACGGATCACTAAGCTTCCCGAGCTGCCTTGGATCTTACCAACACACGGCAACATAACTCATTGCAGATCTACTGATTCAATCACCGACACGGGGAAATCGTTTTTCGCTTGCATCACATTGGACGGAAGAGTCAATTTACAGGAGACTGGAAATGGTTTCAACCAAATATATGCAGGCTGACTCTATTGTTCTACTTCAATGCTGGGGAATAGAAACAAGAAGAAATCAAATAGAATCAAAACAATGATTTAAGGATCTAAAGTACAACAATTGCTTTTGAAACCAGAATCAGAATGCTTGATGTGCCCGTCCGAAGCGGAAAAAACGCTGGATGACCGGAAGTCCTCACTCATTCAGCACCATTTTGGGCAGTTTCTAGTCTCAGAATCCCCAACAGCCCAACAATTCATGTTTATCAATCATTAATCATCTGCAAAACTAACATAGCTATGGAAAATCACCACATTTTCCATAGGTAAAAACAAGTTATTTCTGTGGGTTATTTTCTATGGCAAACTGTTAGTTTACCAGAGGGTAATCATCGACAAAACAGCTGCCATGGGTTGTCCACACGTCTGCCAAAGTGCTGACCCAACCTCTATCTTCCGTCGCCAGTTCCTGACCGGTTTGACCGGCTTGACCCAAGGCCAGACGAAACGTGAGTTGCAAGGAAGTCTAGACCTTTTTCTGAGGAGCTAACATAATTATTGGACTCTTTTTCCCATGTAGTTAATCTATGTTACATATTATATATATGTGTGTATTAATCTGCTAATCATATTGGTTTTGAATGGTTTTGATATGTTTTGACTCATCCCCATATGTATCCCATTCCTATCCTGATGAAATATCCCCATATGTCGAACGGTTGAAGCCACACGCTCCCCTTGGTTGACAGAAAACCGTGGGGATTCAACCCTCATTTGTTTGGTTCATTGACCTTCACCAATAATTGATGTCATTATATAAATTTATATACAATGTATATATATATATCATATTGTATCTATCTATCTATCTATCTATCTATATATATATGTGTGAGGGCCTGAGGCAGGAGATCTGCCCATCCACGATCCATGTGGACGTCGTGGAAGTCGCCTGGGGAGGATCCCTTCTGGGCATTTCTTAACATTGGGGACCCCACATTTCAAAATTACCATCGGATGTTAGTATGTTCTGGGATGTTCTAACTAATGGGATACCCTCTGGTTATGACTAACAGTTTGCCATGGGAAATGGCCCATAGAAATAGATGGTTTACCGTTTACCGTTCTAAAAAATGGTGATTTTCCATGGCTATGTTAAATAACCAGAGGGTAATGTTGAAATTGTCAGCTGACTAAGAACCAAGAACTTATAAGTTGGAGTTATTTGCAGGAAATTTGTCATTGTTAGTTATAGGAACTAAGAACTGAAGTTATTTAAATTGGAGTTTCAAGGAACAAATATGACCCAAACATCAGGGCCTTCATTTCCAATGGCCGTGGCAAATATCTATGGAACGGTCTTGTTGAGGTCTCCTAAAGCCTGAAACCAGTACCAGTCATATCATCAAAATATCACAAAAACCCGCCAGAAAACATTAAACAACTATGATAATTTAATAATATGGGAAATAATGATAGATAATGGGGATATAATTGGGATACTAATAATCATAATACGTATTCCCATCATCATTTCTAAGTATATGTTTATCTATCCCATCTATCCCATCTATCCCATCTATCCCAGAAAATATCCCAAGATCGTTGGTAAAAGATACCCCATTTCATTTTAGAAAAAACTATGGAAAATGGGTTTTTATCAATTATTTCTATGGCCATTGTCATCCCATCCCATCCCCTTCCGTTGATTCCGCATTGCCTTGGTCGATTCGACCTATACTGACGCGATAGTCCTGGGCGATTCCAGGCCGCCATATTTTGCGAGGATGACATGGACACCGCAGATTCTGTTCAACTGGAGTACTAACCATCCAATTTTGGATCCATTCATATCCATTCATATCCATTAATATCCATTAATGATGTTAAACATACAATTTTTATAGGGGTATCTAATTTTAACGCATACCCTGTCGTTTCACACTATCCCCATAATTCCAACATGTTCCAACTTCCATCTGAAGTATAACATCGGGGTATGATGACTGGGGGGTTAAGTCCCTTAAGAAGTATCTGGATCCATAGGGTCCATTATGGTATATCCAGTGTAAGTAGGTTTACTCAATCCCTGATTGTCCATTTGTATTGGGTATAATTCATTAATGATAAATCTTTGATCCATTTGTATTGGGTATAATTCATCACAATGATCCATTTGTATTGGGTATAATTCATTAATGATAAACCGTGCTCCATGAATGGTATATGCACATCCCATAGGATCCATGTATGGTATATATGCTAACATTTGGGGTATATTGATGGTAAATGTTACCATATATACCATACATGGATCCTATGGGATTTAGGTACTCAAACCTTCCGCAGCCAAGGGGCGATGCAATTGATCAGCGTCACTTGAAATTTCACACCTCGATAGCACCTCAGGCAGCAAGGGGGCACTATGAAAGGCGGAGGCTTCGGCTTGGAAGAAAGGTGGGATGTGTAGCTTACAACATAGACAACCTGAGAAGGGATATGATGGGAATGCAATCGGGATACATCCAGTCATAGCTAATAGAGGTATAGAAAACAATAAGCTTTGCAGGAGAAAGCTGAGATACCTTTCAAAGGATTTAACTTTACTACTACTGTAAACTGTAAACATCTTCATTACTTTCTCTAGCGCAGGGACCATTTTCACCAAGCTTTGATCAAGTTGGAACCTGCCACCCTTTTCACCTGGGGTTTATCAAAACTCAGGGAACACGTTTTAGGCGTACCAAGTGACCATTCATCATCCTTTGGTGCCTGGCTTTTCGGCATGGGGATGGAACAGATGGAACAGATGGAACGGTGGGCCCCACCTCGGCTTCAACAAAGGCCGCCACACAGGGGAACTTTGCATGCAAGCCTGGCATGGTTGTGGCTGGTCATCATTTCTGCTCAAAAAGTGGAACTAAAAGATACATTTATAGATTTTATAGAGACTAAACAATTACCCTTTCGAATATCACCCTTTCGATGATAGAAACTTTAAAAAAATCGGCATCAACCCTGCAAGGGGTCCAACCAGTGACGCCTTGAGGATAGACGGCCAATCGGAAGCTAAAGCCGTTGACCGTCAGCAGTTCAGAATAGACCGCTTCGCCCACCTACACCGCCAGGGGATGAGGGGCAGAACGCAAATCAAAGTGTAATACAAAGCTGATATATATATACACATATATATGTATATATATATCATATATATCACAATATATATATATATGTACGTATATAACATCGTAAAACATCATTGTATAACATTCTATCTTAAGCATAAATCAATTGTACCCAATGTAACGTAATATATTTTTCAATCCCTGCACCTCATAGGAGTCCATGGCATTGGTGATCAGTTCCACCTGCCGGAGGCGACGAAATTGCGGTGGCAGTTTTCTTGTCATCCTGTTGAAAAGATGGTTAAAACAAACGGAATAACTGGGGATTGACAATTCAAATAATTCAAGAAACATTCTCATTATAATGATTGTTTTTAGTCATTAACATCATTAACATAGGGTATATCCTCATCCTAAACACTGTTAAAACGAAAACAACAGTTGAAACCAACAAAGAGAAACATCGTGAAACAAAATTTTACAAGAAATGCTTAGACTTAGTGGCCAACTGGGTACTTGGAAAAATGGGTCGTAAAGTTTCAAGACTTGGAGATCATCTTTCAGTTTCAATATACTTGAACCATGCTTAATCTCATCCCCCGAATTACCAAATACGGGAGACAAAGTGAATAGATGGAATGCATTGCACCAGTGAAATGCTTCCATTGGAGGATATGTCATCAATCGAGGGAAGAGAGTGCAACCAATACATCAGCAAGATACTTCTGGGCAAGTCGGAATACTTCTCAAACATGAAATGAGCCAATTTGGGAGTGGTGGCGACCTTTACTAACCATCAGAATTGGTATGGTTGGCGAGTGATGTCTTTAGTACCAGACCCCAGCCCAAAAGTATTACTTGATCTGGGATCATGATCGCAATTAGGGTAAATTGCCATTCCATTCAAGTCCGGTGATATCGTCATGCTGTTGTTTCGGCTTGTAACACCACAATTATTCTCCGCACGAAAAAGCGTTAAATCCAAAAAAACAACAACTTTTATCCCAGGTAGAAATGTCGATAGTATGATAGACAATGATAGAGGAATATTAATTTCTTTGTTTACACACAATTGGAATGTAGCTTTTGAATGTTGAGGCATGACATCTTCCAAAATATAGAAAACATGACCATGTTTAGAATGTTTCATACAAACATACACTTGGAATATCAGAGAGTTCGCCATTAGGCGGTCGGATTGATTTCAAGGTCCTTGGGGGGGGGCTCCCCCCCCTCCTCCTTGACGTTTCAAGGTTCCTCGGGGGGGGTCCCCCCCCCTCCTTGACGTATGAGGTACCATGCCTGTTCCTTGTTTATTTCTATCTGTTCTTCTCTTCTAAATTTTCTAACCCTTCCCCTCCCCTCCTTTCGTTCCGCTCCTTGTTCCTCCTCCTCCCCCCCCCTCCTGCTAACCCTCCGTGTGCCCCTCCACGCCCTCCCCCCCCGCCGCGCCCTCCCCCCCCCTCCTATTTCCTTACTTTTCCTTTCCAAGTCCCCCCCCCTCCTGATTCCTCACTATTCCTTTCCCCGGGGTCCCCCGCCCGCTCCTGTATTTTTGTTTCGCCCTAATACCTACATAAGGTACATCATGAGTATTGATCACATTTATATTCGCCTTTCAAGGCTCAAGAAAAGAGGGTTATAGAGTAAACCCTGTAGACAAGCACTGAACCGGCACAGCAGGCATGAGAGTAAGAGTGCTGTCATGGGAAGACCTTAGCTTATCTTGAGTAGACGCTAGGGCCCCTCTTCAGTGGTATCGGAGCTGATGCCCTCATTGAGGGTGAGCTCCAGGTAGAGGCCCAGAAATGGCAAGCATGGCTATCTGATGAATGAATGGAACTTCGACATTGTCGAGGTGCAAATGATGGAACCATATGACGTGCTTTATGCAATGAGAAGAGCACCCCAGCATACCCAGATTCATTGAAACGCAACAGATGACCACAAAGGTTGCTCCAGCCTATGATGGGCGAACCAGCTTCTTTGCTTTTGAGGATGCAATTGATGACTGGTGTGACATTACGGAGTTAGAACCAGAGAAACGTGGTTCAGCATTGCGCAACAGACTGGAAGGAGATGCTCAACAATACAAGAGGCTATTGGATAGAGAACTACTCAGGGATCCCCATGAAGGAGTGCACTATTTCAAAAGATTTCTACGACCTCATTTTATCAAAGGTGCCCAGAACGTGTTCTTATACCGTTTCATGCAGTTCATGAAGTTCAACAGAGGAACCATGGATCTTCAGAAGTGGATGACTAGATTTCAACTCACTGGCAATAGACTTATTGAGTCTTGGATGGATTTACTTCCAGAAGTAACAGTGACTAGTCCTGAAGCAATCCTGTTTGTTCAACAACGACGTCAAGAACATGAACGAGATCAACAAGAAAGAGCTGAAGTAGCAGCAGCCTCAGGAACACCCCATGTAGCTGTTCCTTGGTCAGATGACCTGGCACTAGCGGCATTTAGACAATTTCAGGAAGATCGTAGACAAGTACAGCGACAAGCATTCCCACTGGGTGAAAATTTGCTAGCATTGATTTTTGTAAGTCTAGCTGACCTGAGTCAAGATCAGAGAAACACACTCACAAGTATCATGACACATCGTGGACGAACCCTCGATCGATACAGCATTCAAGAACTACGTGACCTGTTTTTGGAAATGTTTTGCACTACCAAAACAGCAGTTGACAATCCATTGATGCAACCCTCTGGCATGGCACAGAGAAGATCTTTCCTCGTACTGGATGAAGGTGAATTAGAAGGAACCGACGGCTATTGGGCCGAAGATGAAGAAGACGGCGCAGAAGGATTCCTGGATGCTTTAGAAGATGTTTTCTGTGTTTATGATGACGCCAACTTCACATGGTATCAGAGAAGGTTCCAAGGCAAATACATCAGACGAGGCAAAGGTAAAGGAAAGAGAAAAGGAAAAGGAAAAGGCAGAGGAGGACGAAGGTTCTTCAAATCAAGAAAAGGAAAAGGCCGAGGAAAAGGAATAAGAAAAGGCCGTGCTCACATGGTGAGTGAAGAAGGTTATGAAGATGAATGGCAAGAAGATGAATGGAATGAAAACTATGACGGCTATTGGGCCGATGATCAAACCTGG